TAAGAAGTGAAGATTTATAGAAGCAAGTTCTCTGCTCTACTATTGTTTGTCTGTGTTTTTCAGGTGCCTTCTTTTCAACCGGCAAGGGAGACCGCGTAAGTCGAACGCCCAACTACTAATTTAGAGATGGTAGGTGCATAGACAGCATCAAGAATGTTTTTTTTCTATCTAGAACGGATAGTGGCAGTAGTCCTCTACTACATTGTAGTTCCAAATTCTCTAAATAAAGTGCTACAAAGATTTAAAAAAGTGGTTTTATTGATAGGAGAAAGAGCGTGAACTTCAGCGGTTAGGCATATTCAGAGTGGGATGAGATACTATTGATTGGGAAAAAAACAGAGTGCTTTTCCGGCATGCGTGTCATTACCGCCATAAGCGTCTATGAGTTATCTGCTATCATCGTCCTTCCAGCTGGTTCTACTGATTGGAGATCTGCATATCCCACACAGAGAGCACAATCTCTCGGCAAAATTTCGAAAACTTCTTGTGCCGAACAAGATGCAGCATGTTTTGTGTACTGGAAATCTGTGCAATCGAGAAAGTGTCGACTATCTGAGGTGATCTTTTGTTCTCTTATTTCTCTGAATGTTTACTTATTTTTTACAGGTCGCTTTCGTCAGATGTTCATGTTGTTCGAGGAGATTTTGATGATGAATCATTGAAATACCCTGACACGAAAGTGGTTACAGTTGGACAGTTTCGACTGGGACTCATTCATGGCCATCAAATTATTCCATGGGGGGATGAAGCGGTAATATTAACAAATGCTGCGATTGTTAAAGAAAACTGATCAATACACGTCGCTTTGGATAAAAGGCAGTCTAGATTTCATATCTCCAAAAGTTCTATTTTATCCTTCAAAGAGAAGGTTTTGTTTTCTTCTTTTTTTGAATGACGTTCCGGCAAATATGTTGCTATATAATTTGCTAAGGAAGATGTATATATGCTTACAACACTCTTTGTGCAAAGTTGTGGCTACTAGTTTTTTTAATGTCACATACAGGAAGGTAACATTCCGCGTATGTAATGTCTAATGTAAAATTTTACATTTACTTCATCAGTTTTGACCGTTAATGAAGTACTGGCTGTTGCTGTTCATATCAAAATTATTCAAAGAGAAAAGTTATTGACAAGTTTAGAACAAGAGCATACTTTCACCGTTATAGCTTCCTACCTGTGCACATATGTGTTTAGATGTGCTGATTTAGAGGAGATATATCTGCAGATTTGTTTAAATAATCTTCTTTCGCTGTCAGCAAATCTTCCAGATGCTCGAGCAGCTGGCAAGACAACTGGATGTAGATGTTCTCATTAGTGGACACTCGCACGAATGCAGCGTTCGAGAAAGCGGCGGACGTTTCTACGTGAACCCCGGAAGTGCTACTGGAGCTTTTTCGGTTACGCATGATGGGTATGGTACTTCTAATTGTAGCAATTAGGAAGCTCGCCGCTTTCCCGCATACACCTCGGGGAATTGAGCACATATCCAAACTGACATATCTTATCGCACGAGAGATCACATCCATACATAAACGCTGGCAAGAGTCGTGAATTCCATCTTTGCGTACAGATCGCTCTTATCGTATTTTTCTCCATTCTATTATCTGAATTTTTACTTAAGGATTTCAAATGATCTGCGAGGAACTTGTGAAAACAGTTGGCATTAAGAAAATGATGGGGAATCGTTTGGAAACCTTTTTTTTCTCGCTGGGTGTCTTCATAATGTTCTATATTTCTGAGCATGATATTCAAACTCTTTTTATATAGTTCTAGCATTTTTGTATTTGAAATCAAAAACAGTTTTTCCATTTTTTGTGGATATCACACAGTAATGAAATTTGGCAAGTCTTGGTTAGTCAAGTCATCACCTTCTTTTTCCTTTTTTTTT